CGCCCACCACTGACGTAGCGTGCGCGGCACCGGCCGCCTGCCCGGGTGCTCGTGCTGTCTGGCGGCGCGTGGCTGCCAAGGTTCTCCAGAAGACCGTCCCTCGGGTCAGTCGGGTCTACAGATCGTCGACGCTCTTGCCGCGGCGCAGTTTGGAGAACTCCTCGAACACGATGTCGTCTCCCTTGGCAGGCCGGTCGATGGCGGCGGCCTTCTGGTTGGCGCGGTGCTGCTGCTGCTCCTCGGAGCCCGGCTGCGGGTGCAGCAGCTTGAACGGCAGGTCGGCCATCAGCTCGCCCCCCAGCGCGCCGCAGTTGAGACGGATCCGCACCGAGTACGAGATGACGACGCCGAGCGCGTCCGCAGAGCCGCGGTCGTTGGCCGCCAGCGTCGATGATGCCAGGTTGACGTCAGCGTCCTGCGTGAAGACGAGTTAGTGGGTCAGATTGGCCAGGAGCGAAGATTGGTGGGATCATATGAACGTCTGGCAAAGTGTCAAACTGGAACTCTTCTGGGCGCAGACGTGAACCAGCCCACGTCCCGTCCATGTCTTTCCTTCTGCCTCGTTTCTTTTAGTGTCAGCAAGTGGCGCTGGGCACTTGATCCAACTATTCACAAGTGCTGGTACATTTTACTTTATATCTGAGGCTGCACACAGTTCCCTTGGATGGATCATGTGCCAAGGTGAAGAAGATACCTGGCACGGGCGAGGGTGCAGTCAGTGCTTTCTAACCTTGAGTTGTCCGTCCAGGGCCACGCCGCGGTCCTTGCTGTTCTTGGCCAGCGGGGTGAGGTGGAACGTCTTGGAGAGGGAGGCGCCGGGCGTGATCGGGCATCCCTCGCGGGTCTCCATCTCTGCCACCACGCGCGTGAAGTGCTTGTTCACCATGGTCACCTCGCAGTGCTGAACGATCTGCGCCTTGATGTTCTTCACCTGCTTCCGGGATGAGTTGTTGATCTGGATCTTGGCGTTCACCTGCGGTGGGTGGATCACGGTATCAGGACGGATTTGTGGGTGAAGCCCTCGTCCCTCCCCATGCATTCATCCGCATATTCATCATGTTACATTTCGACATTTTGGCAGTCGTACCTGATCACTGTGGTAGAACACGTCTTGGTCCAGATTGACCTCCAGGCTGAGTTTGCCGGAGCTGAGGGTGAAGCCCTTGGTGACGAGGGTGCTGGGCTGCTTGGCCTGGCGGTCCACAGGGGCGTACTGGACCTGTGGTCGGCACCGGGGGAGGGGAGGTCAGCGCCGACCGAAAGAGGCGACAGGCGCTCAGGCAAGGTCCGGTTCCAGGTCTACGGGTGAAATGAACAGAGCGTGTTAGCTTTTAAGAGAACTATCGTCGGGCGATCTTCCACTCTGAAACCCTGTTGATGGACCCCGATCTATGTAGTAGTTGGGTATCAGTTTCCTAAACCGAACAGTCCGGTTTGTAGAACGCCTCCAGCGCTGTTTTCAGGTCGCCTGTTATCCTGATCGTACATGAGCCTGCATGGCTTACCTTGCGGACGACCATGGCGACTGAGGAGCGCTTGTGAGGCTTCTCCTCGTCATTTTCGGCCACGTAGCACTTCATCTCGTAGGCCACTCCCAGCGGCTTGCCCTGCGGGTGAACGCGAAACTGCGTCAGCGGACCCGCAGGATTTAGCCATGAAGCTTCTATTGACAGTGACCGGGGCTTATCGCAAAGTGACGGTTGGAGCTTACTGGGAGAGCTCCATATTTGTCCGACTATTGCTGAGCTTTCGCTTGAATTTGAACCGTATCGCGATTCGCGGGAGTTCGATAGTGATTAGCGAGTGCGTAATCGAACGGGCTGTGCTGTGTCGAAACAGGGCACCTTCGGCACGCGTGTCGTTGCCAGCAAACCGTAGGCGCTCTTACCGAGGTCCCCTCGCCGGATAGCAGGGTGACAGAGCAGGGCGCCTGCTCAGGCAGCTGGAACCGGAACGGGAACGCATTGGGTCCCAGCTTCTTCAGCAGCCGGTCCTGAAACAGGGACGCGACGTAGGGTCAGCGGCGGTATTGGTAGAACGGCGCACACCGGCTGGAAATGAGCAGTACAAAGGAGGTAATTATCCAGCAATGCAGCTAGCTCTCCGCTACATGGATCGCCAGTGTATCCCTCCCATGATCCCCTGACCCTTCATACTCATAGTATTGAGTGGGCTTGTTGGCCAGGTAGTTATCGGTATTATCAGTAGGTACCTGGAGCTCGCTGACTTCGCCGTTGTTCGCCTGCGGGAAGATCTGCTCCTTGAAGACGGTGATCTCCTTGGCGAAGTTGAGGCCCATAACCTCATCCTCCTCGCGTCCATATCGGTAGTTGACAACCACCTGATGGCGAGACCAAGTGCGGTCAGCGGAGACAGAGTGGTGAGAGGTGTTGGGGTCGCAGTTGGAGAGCGAGAAAAAGTAATTAAACGGACTTGTCTTTAGCAGATCATTCAATCCTGTGAGAATCGAGCTACATTAGAAGCTTTATGAACGGCTTCGCCTGTAATTGCGGTACAGATTTCCCTAATGAACCGCTCCGTGTACCTTCAACAAAATGTCGCTGACTTACCGATCCGTAGACCTTCCTGCTCTTGATGTATCCATCTTCGACGACGATGACGCCGTCCACCGGATCGGTATGATCCAGGCGGTCGACGAAATCGCGTCGGCCCAGATAGACCGTTAGTTTACCTGCGGCGTGATCGTGAGTGATGAAAAATAGCATGGCAGCAAACTTTACAACAGGCCTTGACCTTGCATAGACTCCTGGCCTATGCAATGAATCTGCCGATCGTCATAACACATTTTAATGGAGTGTAATGGAATCAACGCCTTCGGTTGAATCGGCTTCGTTCGCCAAAGCCCTAAGATCCCGAATTTTGGACGCCTTTGACGGGAGGAATGACGAATTAGGTACCAGCGAAATTATAAGGAGGTTGTTATTTCAAGTGCAATCTGATTTGTAACAAACTTATGCAAATAGTTTCAGTTCTGGTAGAAAAACACGGAACAAATAGTGCATGGACGCGTTTCGATTATTAAATCTTCATCAGCATGACATAACCACAGAGAAAACAAGATATAGCGCACAAACATTCGAGCTCGTCACAGTGCAATCGTGCTATATTTTGTTTTCTCTGTGATTATGTCATGCTGATGAAGATATAATAATCGAAACGCGTCCATGCACTATTTGTTCCGTGTTTTTCTACTTGTCTATCAATATACAAGTTTCAGTTCTAGCAGCACAAGGTCCGTCCCAAAGAATAACACAAACCCGAAGAGACTGGACTTTCAGTTTTCTCTTATCCATCTTTTTATGCACGCCAAATGGCGAATGAACGAGTATGCGAAAAATAACGCGTTTGTTGGTGACATGGGATCAAAATGGGAAAATTTTCACATTTCGGTTGCTTGTAAGTTGTAATTGACGAAAGCGGAATGCCACTACGGTATTGAATTGACGGGACGTGAAATTAGGGAGTTTCGTGGTTTTCGTGCGGCGAGCGCCGCCTCATCCCCAAAAGCATACCGAAATTGTAAGACCCTCGCAAGATATTATTTTGATTTCGCCGAATATCCTAGTTTTTGAGCGGGCACAAATATGCGGACAGCAGAGTTGAATGAAGCACCTTTACTTTTACTTCGCAAGACTTTCACGGTGCCTTTGAATTTAAACGTTCCGAGAGCCCCGCTATAGGCTAGAAGCAAGAAGTCCATGGCATAACCGCGTCGTTCCCATCGCTCCAAGCCCTGTGTTGGAGAGCGGGCGCTACTTACCATTAGGACTGGTCTTCTTGAAAACCTTAACAGCCACCACCATGGGAAGGTCGGGGAGCGGAGGTGTCTCCTGTATGTGTTCTCACAGCCGCCGAGCTGGTCGGATCACTGGCGAAACCCCTGACCGGCGGTACCGCTATATACCGCGCCGCTAACTGGATTGGTGACGGTGGCGAAGTCGCAGCAGTGCCGTCCGGACTGCTCGGGCACCTCTCGCGGAACCGCGGGCCGCGGGCCAGCCGAAGACTTACCGCGACGGTGGGCTGGTGGGAGCTGACGGGTGCGCAGCCACCAAAGGGCAACTGCGAACTTGGCTCAGCCGATCGCTTCAGTTATGCGTATATTGAAATGCCCCACTTGACTGAACATCAAGTACGTGCAGCAGTGTGACCAAATTGGTTTAGCGTTAGGGGGAGGATGTATAAAAAGTCGTACGAGGATGTCACTATTTTCAAAAAACTCGTCTTCAGCCTCATTTTAGGTGCAGTTTTTACAGATAATGTGAAAAAAACTATACCTGACGTCAAGTTCTGGTGGAAAGTAAAAACAAAACAAATATTGTCATTAAAGATGTAAAAAAACGACATTGCAAGCGCGACAGTACGAGTATGACGGTGCGAATCGTACATTGGAACATTTTCAGTCTTTATTCCTACACTATATAGGTAGGTATGCTTTCACGACAAAAACGTCGTGATGATGTAATTTTAAAATTTCTGAGGATGTCATTATACTTTTCATTGGGGGTGACTTTCCCCGCAACATCACCAATTTGGCCACACTGATGTGCAGTAGACTATCCCCCGTGTGGTTCCTCATGTTCACGGCTGCTTGGATCCATGGATTTATTTCGAGTCGAATTTCTATTGCTACGGCTACTGCCTACTATCGATGTAAGTTTATTAATATAATATTTTCCGACTTAATAGAGGAAGGCACTGATTAATGAAAAATCGCAATAAAGCCCCATACAATACAGTAGGCAGCTGTTTGTTTTTAATCGCTGTTGAACGCGTCGCATGAACGAAGTTCAGCAAAAGGTTTATATAAAACACCGTTCATAAACTGTCACAATCAAAACTTTTTCAGTACAGCCACTGATCTTTTTAAACGCTGCGTCGGACGAACATTTTCGGATTATCACTGGATTCCGCCGACATAAGCGACACACCCCGTCCTCGTGTGCAGCTGCGGGCCGTCTCGGCGCGCGCCCGCGCGCTCAGCCGGCGGAGCGCAGCAGGGACGTGGCCGTGTTCGTCACGGCGTCTGTGGCCTTCACCAGCGGTTCAGTGACCGTCTCTGTAGCCGTGCCGAGCAGCGAGGCCGGCCCGCCGCTGTCCGTGGTGCCGCCGCTGCCCGACAGCAGCCGCAGCCGACCGCCCTGCTCGCTGGCCGTGGAGCTGCTGCTGGCCCGCAGCGTGTACGCGTCGCCGCTGGCGAACGGCACGCCCCGCTGCGAGTGCGTGGTGCGCACGTGCTCGCGCGTGGTTAGGTTCATGCGCTCCGTGTAGTCCTGGCGGCGGTGCACGTGCAGCCGCAGGCCGTACAGGTTACGCAGTGGACCTGTCGGACGGTCGGGGAAACCGGTCACCAACACTTCTAAGGTGGCCGGGTAGATGGCTGGGTGACGGACGGTTCTCGTCTCGGCTATAATGATATGGGGTATGGTTGAGATCAAATGTTGGTAAATCATCAAATACGCTGCGGGGATGTTTCTTTATCCGTCCGATGAGCAACGAAGGAACAATGCATCTTGCCCTTTTTGTTAGTGACGCGCAATTTAAAAGAAGGTTTGGCGTTTCATGGTGTCTCAGATATTCTGACCACTGCCAAATAGTTACTTATGGGAGGTCGGGGTCGTGAACTGATGCGAGGCTCAGCCTCACCAACATCTATTCCACCCTCGTGGATCAGAGTCGCGTGGTGATCGGCCTATCCAACTTTCGCGTGGGGCGCCGGGTTCGCGCTGTGGGCCATCCTACCTTTGACGAAGCGCGACTTCCACCTGTCGCGGGTGACGCCCTCCTTGCCGTGCCATCGGAGCACCGTTTTGGCCGCCGCTGTGTCGGTGCTGTTCAGGTGGGTCCCTGTGCGGAAGGACGGGTGGAGATGGGTGTCAGGCGCCCATGTCAAGGAGAGCCGCATCGGGCGCACAGCTGGACACTGCAGATACAGTTACACATCCAGGCACTTAGCCGGCCATACTGGGCACTGACATAACTAGCGTCGATGGTTCATTGCAGCTGGTTGACGAATGTCAACAGTTGTAAACCTGCACATTGCACAATGCTCAGCGCCAATTATGTTGAGTTAAACATCCCTTATGACCTATTGTATTCATTCGCTCTTGCACATCTTTTAGCGGCCCAAATAAAATTGATAAGCTACGAGGGCCGCCAGACGGAAATTAAAAATTAAATTACTCACAATAAGGCACACGCATTTACCTCGAATGCTGCTGGAGTTGATCTTGGCCTCCATCAGTTCACTGTTCTTAAACTGCACAACCTTGTTTCCTTGATTTTGGGCCTTTTGTAAGAACTGTTGGATGCTCGTATCTGAAGAATAAAATACGTTTGAAATGGTAGAATTAGGTGTGGGTGCTGTCGTTATGAAAGACTAATAGCTTGTTTTTATATTAGCCATCGGAAACTAAGCTCAGCAGCACAAGACTGCAGTAATTCGCCATTACCCATAAAATAGGGGAAGCCGGGGGAAGCCCGGCATAGTAAGCTCTTTTTCATTTTTATTACATACCATACGTGCTGTATAAAATGTTGATATCCTGCTAGCTAGCTTAGTTCATTGGCCGTGTTTTCCCAAAAATTCGGTTTCGTGGAATAAGTATAAGGTTGAGAAAATCGAGTTTTAAAAAAGTATTGATTTTTCTGGGGTAAGCCCGGCATAGGGGTAACGCCGGCCACCTCCCCAGCGCTTTACGAGTTGATGAAACCATTATGTGTTTTCCAAATATTAACGGAAAGTGAACTATTAAGGTACTGATTAGCTCTGGACATCTTAGAGTTTATGTCACTACTGGTATTTTAGCTAGCGTCTACTACATATACAGTACAGGTCGATGAAAATCGTGATGCAAAATTGACAAAAAATGTGTATTTCAAAATTCCTTAAAATTTATTTTTCTTTTTACCTTAATGCATCATATTGCATATCATTCGACTCGGCTGATGAAGAAGAACACAACGACACCATTTTTGAAGCTCTAGCTTCATTGTCTGTCGCGTTATCTGCAAAAACGTAGTTTGACCCTAGTTGACCTTAAGTGACATGACTGGCTTTGTCTATGATAACATGTTTATTTTCGAAATTCATCTTTGATCTAGGTGTAAACCAAACCTGCTCAGTACCTATCATCTCATGGAAAACAGTGGTTTAGTGGCATTGCTCTCGGTTGGGGGTAAGCTTAGCCACTCGCCCGGGGTTACCCCAATGTGCTAATTTTTATTTTAGAACAGCGATATTCGAAAAAATGTCATACCTAAGCCAGCCTGCCTCGTCACCCCTCACTACAAACACTTAAACGGTCCTTACATAACATTCGTATAAATATTAGTACTGTATGATATAACATTAACAGTGCAACATATCTCACTTTTTAGCTAAAAACCCTTAAAATATCATTTTTGCGCTACAACTTTAACAATATGCAATTTTTGTCAGCCTTAACTTTTTTGCTGGCGTTACCTTGCTGCCACGCTGAAAGGACAAACAGTTGAGCATTTTATTGTGAATAATTTAGCCGGAAACGGGGTGGCCGGGCTTCCCCCGCGCCCGGGCTTCCCCCGGCTTCCCCTACTCCAAGCTCGACCTCCATATCTGAAATCGATTAACGTCACATTTTATGCACTATACAAATACAATGCTGAGTACATTGATGAAGGCTGCAAAAAATCATTTGAAATAAAATCTAGCTCGAGTTCAATCAGGAAAGAGAGGCGATAACAGAAATCAACAGACACACAGACGGAGCGGGAAGCGTCACTCACGCTGTCGGCCGCGGCAGAAGCGGCCCAGCTGCTGTGTGTGCTGCATGCCGTCATAGACGCTCCGTCCCCCGTCGGGACACTCGCCGTTCGTCGTGATGACGCCCATGTCGTTACCGAACTGACCGCCCTCGGACGAGCAGAAACAGTTGCCGCCGCTGGAGAAAAAGCGAGAGGATTAAAACGCTCTTCGTGGCCAGCTTCTGGCTGCCGCTGATATAGGGGACTGCGCTGGCATGGCATAACTGTTGGTCAAATCGTTTCCAAAATGTGCCGGGATGTGAACCGATCAACGGGTCGAGTTGGATATACAATGTATCGGAATCGGTTAACGGATAGATAGTATCCCTCGGAGCGGTTTTGCATCGCGTTTTCCCATTCCCCGTCGTCCCCACTTACTCATATATTGCGTAGAAGAGTTTTTTGTCCAGCAGACAGGAGCATAGGCAGGTGAAGGGCGATCCCCGTGCGGCCGAGTCTCGCGTCCACCCGGTCCAGTTAGCCGGCCCGTCATAGCACTGGCCCTCCACGTGAATCTCCACTGGGGCACGACACGCGGGGCGTTAGAGTGTTGACGGCTGGACGGGGGCGTCGTTGTGTAAACCCCGCGGGCCGCGACAACCCAGAAGTAATATTTATGGACGTTCGTGTATGTACCGCGGGATCGCTTCGTTGTGTTTGGTTGGCAGGCTCAGCCTCGGCTCGGCGGAGCTGGCGACTGCCGCCTGAGGGTTAGGCTGTGCCGCCGCGCCCGAGTGCGCGGCGTCACAGTATCCAGCCGAGCCGCAGGCCGGCGGGCGGACGGATTACGTCCTAGGCGCCCGAGCAGGACTTGTGACAATTCGAACACAAAATCACTGAACTCGAAGCTAGTGTAAATACGACACTACAAATAAAATAATGGGAACCATCAACTAAATACATGTAATCAATACCTTACAAAAGCAAAGCATCTAAGGGGATGCTGCATCGGAAATTGCATATGACTTACATATGACGGATCTTCCCTCGTTTCGCTCGGTGGCCTTGTTTATCTTATTGTTCTGTCGATTCATGCGCACATCCATTGACATCGAGTCTCCGAATGTTTGGTTCACTGGAAGAGGTGGCGCCAGTTGATTGATCAAGCGACACACAAGCAGTGTTAATAGCGAAAACAGCAGCGCTCTTGAAGGTTAAAATGTTTTTCTAAGCAACATTATTTAACAATTCGAATTTATCAGCAGGTGACGTGACTGGTCTGCGGGTTGCTGTCTCACCTAGCAGATCCTTCTTCAGCATGTCCGACGTGACTCGCGTGGAGCGAATAGCGTTTTCGTCTACATCGTTGGTGAAGCTGGACGCGGTCTGCGTGGTACGGTGGCCCTTGACTGGAACAGGCAGCACACACAGCCCCCTCGGTATTTACGGGTCCCGAGAGTGATAGATGGATATGAGGGAACCGATACGTTGGAACCGATAATGGAACGTTGTACTGTCAATTACGTGTCATCCATTCTGAAAGGCTGGTCTGTAACAAGCGAGCTGTCAATGCAAGCCTGTGAATTTATTTCCACCTCAATAAAAACAACCAGGAATACGTGTGACCGAAATAAAAAGCACAGCCGGCGTCTGCACGTTACCGTATTGTTTCTTGTAGCCGTCGACAGTGAGCTGATCTCGCAGCTCCTCGTCCATCGTCAGGTTGCTGTCCTTCACAGAGTTGACAGAGATCTCGTTCCGTCCAGCTGCCGCGAGAGCATTAGTCAGCATGTTTATTGAATGGCGTAACCGGTATGTAATACAAAACAGACGATTCATGGTAAGACTGGTAAAAGGTCTGCATAAAAAGTGATGTTGAAAAGACAATCCGACTATTATAGTTAAACGTTAGTTGCGTTACGATAGCGAAGACAGATGCTAAGTGCAAACGTGTCTACTGTCTACATTACCCACCTTTGATGTTGTGTTGCTCGCTGGTCTTCAGATCCTGTTCGCTACGTTCTTTCTGTACTAGTTTTTGAGAGGTGAGGTCTGCAGTTCCTATCTGTCCACCTTGGACCGAACCTGAAACGAAGCGAACACAGCTTTATATGGGTAATGATGTAAATAATAAACCAATTAGTACAAATTAAATATATTCAAAAACACTCATACTATGTGTGTTTTTACGTGTGTTTTTGAATATATTTGATTTGTGCTAACAGCTTTATATGTTGACGATTTGCGGGAGGCACGTTGCAACATATCCTTTTTCCAATTTTTCGCCAACTTGAGGCATTTAGATACAATAAAAATGACTGATAGGTAGTGACCGAAGAGTGACAGGACAGGTTGCGGTAAGTTTTCTTTCAGCTAGCTTTTTATGTTCTAGAGAAATTAAAAGAGGAGTTAGACGGCGGAGTGCGTGACGTTCGAATCCCTCAACACTGACCGTCTCTGGTGAGGTTGCTGGAGTTCTGGGTGATGACGGTGACGTCCTGCACGTCCGTGACGGAGAAGTTGCGCCCGTCCACCACCGATGAGAAGTTGGAGCCGTTGGTGCGCGCCTGGTCGGCCGACTGCGTCTGCACAAAGAACCCGCCGCGGATCGTCCGCGACCGAGTCTGGTTCGTGTTCTTGACAGTCACTGCGATGGAGATGGAGGTCAGTGGACGATTTGGAATCCAGTGAACAGGGGAGAAAACACACATCAGCTCTGCCAGTCCGTAATCAGTGCTTACTCTGACATTCTCTGCAGGCACGTTTAGGCTACAGTGGGACGCTCGTGGATTGTGGTCGTGACCCCAACTCACGTTTAATCCACGGCTGGACGCTGACGTTCAGATCGTGGTCCGTCTTGGTGAGGTTTGCCTTCACGATCCACTCAAACTTTGGCGGAACGTAACCTGCCGGAATGGTTTTCTGTTTTATTAGACATCGGGGGCTGCACAATTACGTCCACTGTTGTCTGAAATCACAAGTCTAGGAATCCATAGAAGTGGCAACGGCGTAGTACTTTTTTGAAGCACTTTCACTCACAGTGCGTGAATGGAAAATAAGTATGTGCATTTCATGATGGGTACCGCACCATCCTTTTCAATAATTTACCAAACAATGTGTGGTGGATATTAGAAAACATAAGGCTTGAATCCTGAATTATGAGAGTAAACATCTAAGTTTACCAGAAACTTATCAATAGATATTGCCAAATGGTTCCTGAAACAATACGGCGAAACAAAACCTTTGGACAATAACCTTTGGACAAAACCTTTGGACTGAAGCAATACCTTTGGAGGCTTGCTTTCTGTGGACGAGTAAGAAAACGCGAGCGTTTTTCACCAGCGGATTGCAGAGCTTATCTGTCTTGACATTTGGCGATCCGAAGCCGCACTCACAACCATTCCTGGTGATCATCGAACAGAGAACGATTGGTCATAACTCTTAAGCCAGTTTATTTATGGAATAAGTTAAATAGGATGATGCCTCACCAACTAACACCCTTATTCTTATAATAAGCATGCGTAATTTGACAGCCATGTGTCTTGGCCCCTGCGAACCGTGTGACTCACACTCCGAGTATGATGAGGCTGACGCCCCTCTGGTCGTTGCATGTGTTGACGCACTGCTCTAGCACGTTGGCGCCGGGCTGCACCTCCCACTGGACGCCGCCGGGCCGCTGTCCCACCCAGCAGACGCGCTGGTGTTCCGCTGCGGAGAGTGGACAGGGGAGGTCATTGCCAGGTCGCAGTCCCACCCAGCAGACGCGCTGGTGTTCCGCTGTCGAGGCCAGATACAGCGGGAGGTCCTCACTATTTTCACTCCACCATTCTTACAAAAAATAAAGGCATAACTTCATAATTCCATATACCACCAAAGCGATAAAAACGATCGCGGGTTGTCGGGCTCCGCTAGATTACCACAGTCAGACCTACAGTTAGAGTCCCGACGTTCATCCTTCACCAGCCACTGTTTATTCACACACTTCCGTCCAACTCGGCCACACTAACTCACGTTGGGCGGTGACGGTGGCGACGTTCCTCGTCCAGACGTCAACCGACAGGAGGGAGTAGGCCTTCGAGTCGTCACCAGCGTCCTGACAGCGGGCCATCGGCAGCCGCCGCAGTCGGCCGTCCTGACTGCTCCCGCACAGACAGCCCAGTCTGGGGAAGGGCGCGTCACCAGGGCTGTCATACTCATCGCCCAGTATTGGGGTTTCAGGGTCTGCTGAGGTCATTTTGCGTCTCAGCGACCGTCACACTCCCAAACTGCAAGCCGTCAGACCATTATATATGTATGTAGCTTAAAGACATCCAAAGAGCGGATTGATAAGCCCAATCGAGGCTGAGCAGAGCCAATGCTCGAACACGAAATACGGCCGACTCTCACCTTCCAAAGGCTGCATACTCTTTTTTGTCGTCCTTGCAAAGCTTCATACACTGGTCGAAGAAAACCATCCTGGAATAGATCTTCCAATGTTTGGGCTCACTGGTGCAGTGCCAGCCCTCAGGAACTGGTGGAGAGACGGGTTAGATACTATAAATGGCACCAAGCAGAGTGCAGTACCTAAGTGTCAAACCTCGAAAGTGGCTGACAGACACGGGCTTAGTACCGAGTAGATGGCAAAATGCAACCACATCCTCAGAGCACTGCCAGTGGTTTATGTTGACCCAGGTCGTCTATAGAAACTACTCTACTTCACTTACAAAAGTAATTTTAAAAAATGTCGGCGATCCGTGCGATGAGGCACACCGACAGGCCCAGACAGCACGCATCAGTAACGATAGGTTCATTGTAGCTAGCTGGTGCTCACCGTTGACGAAGCCGCGTTTGTCGAGCATCAAGTAGCCCTGCGAGGGGTTGTGCGGGGCGTTGGCGCTTTTGACCACCCACTCGTTGACGTGCACGTTGGTGACGCCCTCTCGCAGGCTGCCACAGAAGCAGCCCTCACTGCGGAGTGTAGAAGAGAGAGAGAGAGAGAGAGAGAGAGAGAGAGAGAGAGAGAGAGAGAGAGAGAGAGAGAGAAAATTCAATTTATTCGTGCGTGCACCGATATCACTTTCTCGGAAGACGGACACGTCATATCAAGACTCTGACTTCCTTTTCCAGTGACATCGCAACTCCCCGGATTTTATCTGTGGGCTGCCACAGAAGCCAAGGTGCTGCGGATCTCACAGAGTACACTGTCCTGCGTAAACCATCCAATATTTGATACTCACGATCCGACGGCGTCACTCACGGTCCAACGGCGACAAAACGCCGGTCACAGTTGAGCACACACTGTTCCAGCTGGGTGATGCCGAGCAGCGAGGTCCAGAAAACACCGGGCGACCGGCTCGACACCCACCAGAACACGTAGTCTGGCGGCGGAGACAAGGGTCACACGGAGGTCACAGGGGTCACACAGAGCTCACACAGGTCACACGGAGGGTGTATAGGTTAAACAAAGGTTACATGATGGTCACACAGGTGACACGACGGTCATACGGGTCAAATGGAGGTCACAAAGGTCACACAGAGATCAAACGACAGTCACACAGGATACATGGACATCAACCACGTCACACAGAGGTCACAGAGATCACATGGAGGTCGTTCAAGGTAGAAAAAGTCATACAGAAGTCGCACAGGTCATACGCAGGTCACAGGTCATACAAGGGTAACACAGGTCATAGGGAGGTAACCCATTCGCACAGAGGGCATGTGGGTCATACAGACGTGACACAAGTGACCCGGAGTCCACCCACTACCATCCCTGACACATATGAAGGCAGCACTGACCGTATACGGTGTTTTCGACCATCACGATCTGCCGCTCGACGGCCTGGATGCTGAGCACAGAGTAGGCGCGCGTGGTGGTAACGTTCATCTGGCACTGGGTGCGCGAGAAACGCTCCAGGTTGGCCGTGCTGTTGCCGCAGTAGAAGCCGTCCCTGGTGACAGGAAAGAAGTGCGATTTGGTGAGCGAACGGTACGTGTTCGTTGCATGGCGCTCGCTTAGAGGTGGCTGAGTATGTACAGAGCACACAGCTGGACATGTTGCCGCAAAATTCTTCCGTCTTCGCTTGTAAATAATGAACGAAATTATGAGTCATTTGCATTTCATTTCATTTGCCTTGATCACCGTCGGTGTAATGTGAACAATTTTAGCAACAGGTTATCCCGTTTCCTCGTCATTTCGTGTATGTGTTCAGTACTGACTTTCCCGGCGTGAGGAACTTGAAGCGCCGCTCGCGGCAGGCGATGAGCGCCTCCTGTAGACTCTCGGCGGCCGTGACACGCACAAAGTGGGCCGGCGCGGCCGTGCACTCCCAGTCGGCCAGGCCGGCTGGCTGCAGCTGCACCGTGAAGCCGGGGTCCAGCGCGGCCTGGCGGCGGCGCAGGTAGGCCAGGTCCTCCTGCGGGATGGTCACCGTCTGCCGGCCGGCCATACCGCACCGGCAGCCGCGACTGCGGGAAGGGACGCAGGGTTCGGGTCACAGATCACAGCAGTAAGGTATACAGGTCAGAGGTTACAGTATCGTGAAGTTTATTACGCGCAGGATAGGGTGTAGGTCATAAGTCAAAGAGGGACGCGGGGTGCAGGTCGTACCAGGGCACAGGATACAAGCACAATATGGTAGATACGGAGCCTTTTTTCTTTTGCATAATTTTCAACTAAACTGTTGACTGAAGGAGCGATGGTGGGCTGCTTACTAGTCGACCCTGGCGAAGTCTTGGCCGAACTTGTAGCAGAGCTCGCCGCAGCCTCTGATGTCCAGTGGCTTGTAGGCGATGTTGGACACGGTGCCCCAGATGACGTCGGACGGGGAGCGGGCTGACACCCAGAACTGCATGTCTGCCCACAGAACAGGGCGACCGCGCACCTCTCATACCGCGTATAACGATTGTTATACATCGGTTCTGCACATTCTCTAACACACTTAACCGGCGAAAGAAGAATATTATAGCAACTGTCATAAAGATACCTACTGCCCATCATCTATCATTCGCCGATCTAGCCACGCAAAACGGCAAATGAAGGCGCCGCCGATCTCCTGTTTGGGACGGGGCGCCGCCGATGTGCCGCTGACGCCCCGTCCTCCGCTCGCCCCAGTGGCACATTCTCACCTGGCTGGAGGCGCGCCAGGTCCTTCTGGAAGAAGGTGACGTCGATGATGTGGTAGGCGGCGTCGGTGCACGAGCCGATGGTGAGTGGCGCCACGCTGCTCCAGAACTGGCAGCCGTCGGTGCCGACCAGCAGGTAGCGTACGCCTCGCCGCAGTGCCTCCAGCCAGCACTGGTCGACCGTGGCGTACCGCGCCTCCCACGGCCGCCGGGTGGGGGTCACAGAGCAGAAACAGCCGCCTGCCGGGACCGCGACACGGATAGATAACGCCGCAGAATGTGATGATACCGCAATGATCCATGGTAACATTGTATTGACTAGCTCATGTACTTGCCGCTGATACCGAACAAGTCTCAATAAGTGATATAAGGCTGATCCGTTTCATAATTCGGGCCGTGCTTAACCCGGCCGGGCCCGGGGGGTAATCCCAACCACCGCAGCCCGGGGGGGGGGCGTTTTTCGCCCCCCCCCCTGTCTAACTCCGTAAATAAGGGAGCTACGGAAACAAAAGCGATACCAAACGAAAGGTCCTTACGAGACGATTCTAAAGCACCTAAAAATTTTGACCTCAGGTCAATTTTCAAGGTCAGAGGTCAAGGTCAAAGGCAAAAACCGGCACATGTGTAGTGATCTCAAAGTAAGCCTTCTAGAGGACGGCAGGCGGCATCAAACCGGCAAAATTGGGTGTCAAAAACGAAAGAAGAGAATCTGAGGATTCCGAAAATGTGCTCAAAATTAAAGGTCAAGGTCAAGGTCACGCTCAAAATTGACCTCAAACTTGGCACTTTTTCGCACATCTTGCGTGCTAACTTTCAAGATGTTTTGAAATGTTTTGAGGCTTATCAGTTCCCTATTTGTGGTTCCTCTTACGATACAAGGCTGCTCAAAGGTCAAGGTCATTGAAGAGTATCCCTGCTAGAGGCTATTTCACTAATTCAAGTTAGTAATAATAAATAAGACAATTTTGCCATCCGGAAGCTCTAAATGAAGGCTTAGAGGAAAATAGATGCCAGATTCGTGATCAGCGGGTACAAATCCATTATAAACGACCTTTCATGTGTCAAGGTCAACCAGAGGTCATTCGAGGTCACATGAGGTCAACATAAAACTTGACCTTTTCCGAACAAAATATATATCATTCGACGCGGCTTGACAAGGCGAATGCGATGGTACCATTGCCGTAGCTCTAGGACCATTTTTGTCGAAGTTATTTGCGAAAAACAAAAACCACATTTCGGGGTCGTGGACCTGACCTCTGACCTCAGGTCACCAAAACTATTTTTCTATTTTTCTCTAGGTCAAACGCTACACAACCGTGCTCGTAATTTGTCTTTATCTCTAAAACTCTATTTTTAGCAGCTATTTGAAGTTTGCGTCTGTGACGCCGAAGTTTGCTGTGCAGGGGTCTAGAAAAATGGACCTTGTGACGTCATCAAGGGGGCTAGGTCCAAATTTTTTACTTCAGAAGATGTCAAATTGATGGGAGAAAAGGTACTGAAACTTTCGCTTTCCTATCCCTAAGCGTTCGGGAGCTATCGCAAATATTCGCCAGGGGGGGGGGCGAAAAACGCCCCCCCCCCGGGCCCGCGAGGGTTAATACACGGCCCGGACTTAAAAGGGTTCGGTATTAACGAAAAACATAGCCCATCGTTATATCCTAGTGTTGCGGATGTCCTTTACAACATTCTTGCTTGGCTGTGAACTGGGAGGACAAAAGTGATAACAGTTATTACGGAGCGAGCGAAGCGAGCGTAGTCTTTCCTTAGATTAACGGAAGCGGCCGGCCGGCCGGTCGGCCGTGGTCACGATTCTGCGACGCTTATATCTCAGCAACCACTTGACCGATTTACACGCGGTAATTTTTGTAGGATAGCTTCATTCCTTCTACCAAGTATTGGACTATTCCCGATGCATGTGGGTGACCCCTTATGCACGTGCCACGTACAAAACGAAGAGGTGTCACTTTTGTAATTGTTGCAATATCTCGGTAACTACTTGGCCGATTGCGCTGAAAGTTGGCATGTAGGTAGGCACCCACTAGGCAATGCATATCCATGTGCCAGAATTGGGGTGCTGCTGCACGTGCGCACGTGCAGGGGTCGATTCCAGATCTCGAGAACGGTTGGACCGCGATGGCGCTCAAATTTGGCACATGGTTAGGGACCGGTTAGTAGGGTGCCATGCAAAAGTCAGTTGGGACCCATTTTGCGCGTGCGCACGTGCAGGGTGCCGCTTCCAGATCTCGAGAACGGCTGGGCCGATTGTGTTCAAATTTGGCACATCGCTAGAGGCCGGTTAGTAGGGTGTCGTGCACAAGTCAGTTGGAGGTACCCCCTCGCAAGTTCGCACGTGCAAGGCCCACCCTTTCGCTCGCTCCGTTAGTCGCCCCAAAAGGCGTTATACTGGTGCTACAATTTACAATTGACATCATTTCACCGCTTACAAAAAAAACTCACGTTTTCTATCTTTCATGGCCCGCTGCACGGTGCTCTCGATGTATCGTCTGGATGGCTGGAGCTTGTTCATGTTGTTCCGGGCCTGCAGGAGCAAGTCGCCAGGCCCGCTGCTTACCGCGTCCGCAACAGCTCCTGTCAGTTCAGGCAGACTCATCTCGTCATGCGTCACACGGAAGATAACTATCATTACGGTCAGAGTCTCATATAATTTGGTAGCCTTTCCTCTAGGGATTGAATTGTATATTTTCAACCTAGGAACACGAATCATTGGTCGGACACTTGACCGTTGCTAGGATAAGCTCAAGGATCTCCTGTAAGATAAGACGTGCACGCAGTCCTGGTGATGCAAATTTTTTTCATAAGAGACGCTTTCGTTGAGCGTGACGTACCCTGTCCTTTGGCAGCGAGCGTCACCACGCCTTTCTGGATGGCGCCGGCCGCGCTCCGTCCGGTCAGCCCTGTCGGTTATGATCATGCGATGTTTGTTATTTAATTATTTATTTTTTATTTCTTTATTTCTTTATTTATTTACCTATTTATTTATTTTTCTAACATCCACGGGCATGGGCACCCAATACCCATTGATGGACGTAGTCCAATATACCTACATATTACATACACAAATTATACGAACAATTTCATACAAGCTGATAACATTTTGTGTTTCTGTTGCTCGCACTGTCGCATATTTCTACTTTTCGGCTATGTGGTCCGCACCAAAAATTTATCTGCTAAGAAACCGCCAAATAGGAGTAAAAGTATACGTCTATATAAGTAAAAGTATATGCCGGCTTATACGCATGAGAAACTGCATCAAGCGCTAACGAGTACAAGATTGACCATACCAACTGTAAGGTAAACGACTTGTGCTGATCAGCAAAAAGTGAAAAATGTGACCTGCCATGTCAATCCTGCATGTCCGCGATAAGTTCTGTTCTTACGAAAGAAAACGAAGGGACGGACATAAATCAACTATCAACATTGGACGCAAAATAGTAAACGGCAGCTTTATACAGGAAGTGACCTCGCGCGTAAAGGCTCGCAAGCTCGGCGGCGTCAGCAAGCATGACTGTCAGTGCTTATATACGTATGGGTAATTTATCTGTCAACTAACAGTCTATACTTCACGACTTTGACCTGTCAACGGCACATACGAGTATCTACCCTGTCATCACTACCACGTCGTATGCACACGGCGAGCCTGAATCTGTGAACTATACAACTCTAGCCTGTCATCTGCACAACCTTAATCTGCCGCCCGCGCACTTTACAGTCCTAACCCGTCCCCTCCGCGACCGGGAGCTCTGACCTGGCGACTTTGCCGGTGTGCAGTACTGCAGTTTGGCGTCAAATGCCAGCCCTTTGGCGCACTTCTTCACCACGTACCGTCCGCCGGTACAGTGGTAGTAGCGTGTCGGGTTCTTGTGCGGAAACATTCCGTTACGGGTGCGACACGGACCTGCGAAATCAGACGTCGAAAAGGGAAAATGGAGGCCGGTCAAGATAACTGGAATGCATTATGTATATGTACTATGTAGTGTGTACGTTTCATTTTACATGCTATCAGCCTTTTTCACGACGGCCATCTGGTACACATTTGGTGCACATCTGGTGCAGATTAGGTGCAGATTTGGTCAAATCAGGTTCAGTATGTCTCTTAGTAGCTATCAGCTAGGGTTGCACTATTTGCTTATATGCCTGCTTTGTCATATTATCAGAGAATATTATCGATTAAAACACTGAAATAAATTCATAAAATACAGATATTTGCTGTGAAAGAGATTGCAGAAGAAAGAGGTGCAGATTTGGTCAAATTAGATGCACTCGCCGGATAGCCCGTCATGAAAACGGCTAATGCGTATCAAATTTACGAGGAGCGGTATACGTGTGGATTTAAACGATTAAAACGATGCTGCTCTAGTTTTGCAATTGCTCATGTCGCTGATGAAAGTGTCTGATTTTGTGCACGCAAGTAGGTAAGAAGGCGCTAATCTGTGCGCTGTCTTCTGAGACTCGTAAAAACTGTTTTCTCTGGGAGACTAATTAGCTACATGCTGCATTGCATTACCTTTCTTCGCCTTGGCAACTGAAACGCCTCCGGCGTCTCTTGCCAGAGATGCACCTGAAATTGAAACAATGAGGGCGTTAAGACACGATTGTTATCGTGCAAATGCATAACATAAATTGAGCTCATACAGCTCTAAGCGCGAGTGTAAAATATACAATTAACGATATACTTACGCTCTGACCTTAGGTGTCATTGATGAAACCAGATACCTCCTGGGGCATTCCACGATAGATCGACCAAAGCCGTACACCCTCATATTTTATTTTTTTGCTTAAAATTGGTCTAATGGGTTGTGATGGGCGGGGAAGATAGCTGTGCCAAGGATTTTTTCTTCGAACAACGGTTTCCGAGATATAGCCTCAGGCAATTCCTGGAGGTCACGCTGCAACCCTATGTTTGGCGGCTTATAACTCAGAAACTATTGGTTTTCTTTGGTTAAAACTGTATATGGTTCAACTCGCAATCAACCAACAAGCGTTTTGGCTATCTCGGATTTTCGATTTTTGAAAATTTTGATCACGTGACATCTTGACCTTTTTTCGAAGAGTGACCTTGATATTTTCCCAACTGAAAGCCGCAATTATGTCTGATGACGATTAAAGCCTTATCAATTGTCATTCATATGCGGCAATAAAAAAGTGGCTTTCGGCCTGCATTGGCCTGAGATCAGGTCATTTTTATGACCTGTCCTTTAAGTCAATGGCAGAAATATCGACTACCACCGAAACGCATCTGACCGGTTCAAATACTTTTGAATCATGTTGAGTTAGGCTATTATTGATGGCACTGGTGCAGCTTTGTATCAGTGACCCGCTGAAAGGTCATCCGAGGTCACGCGTTGAACACACAATAATTTTCCGTTTTTGGCTGTACCTTTTGATCTAATAAAGAAAGAGACGTAGAATAGGCACCAATGCGTTTGCTTTCGCCTAGCGCCAGTTCGTTTTGAATTTCAATACCGATGACCTCAGGTCAGGTCAATTTCTTGACCACCCCATTATAAGTCAATTGGGGAAAAATCAGCTCCCTTATTTTTACACTAAAACGCGTCGGAATTGCCTAATATACCATGAGTGACTTCATATACGACTAACTTTGACTACCTTGAGACCTTTTTTGCTCTTGGTCAACTGTGACGTTGCTCTTGGGTCATGTGACGTCATTAAAGGTCACCAAATGTTTTTGCTAATAACTCCTTACAGGTTTGAGATACAGCCGCGCGGATAAGCTCATTGTGTTCAGCTCGTCAAGGCCCATCGAATGATATATATGATGACCTTAAGGTCACGTGACCTAAGGTAAACTTTTGACCTTGACCTTTCGAGGTCAACATACACATGTTTCGATGCGGATCGACGAGAGGATCACGTTGGTGCTATTAGTTTGTTCCTAGCTGGGATACTTTGAAAGTTATTCGAGAAAAAAACTTCATTTATATGTAGTGCCGCCATTTAGACTTTCTTTTTACCCCTGTGACGTCATCTTTGACCTGACCTGAAAATGACCCGAGTAAAAATTGTAGACCTTATCCATGTGTACCCTGTGCCGTTTACCGCTTGTCGTTATCTTGCTTTGTTCTCGAGATCTCGCTGTCGCTCCCGCTCGTAATAATGGGAAGGTCATAAAAATGACCTGACCTGAGGTCAACGCAGGCCGGAAGCCACTTTTTTATTATCGCATATGAATGACAATTGATAAGGCTGTAACCGTCATCAGACAAAATTGCGACTTTCAGTTGGGAAAATATAAAGGTCACTCTTCGAAAAAAGGTCAAGATGCCACGTGATCAAAATTTTTAAAAAATCGAAAATCCGAGATAGCCAAAACGTTTGTTGGTTGATTGCAAGTTGAACCATATAAAGTTTTTACCATAGAAAACCAATAGTTTCTGAGTTATAAGCCACCAAACATAGGGTTGCAGCGTGACCTCCAGGAACCGCCCGAGGCTATATCTCGGAAACCGTTGTTCGAAGAAAAAAATCCTTGCCACAGCTGGGTTCCCCGCCCATCACAACCCAATAGACCAATTTTAAGCAAAAAATAAAATATAAGGGTGTAATTTTTTTGTCGATCTATCGTGGAATGCCCCTCCTATGGTTTTAATTTATTAGCAGCTCTTGATTAGTCAAATCCACTCGCTACCCCAGTATCTAACGACTTCTATTTCCGAGACAGCTCACCTGACGTGCTTCCGCCGATACCTTGGGCCGCACTACTGTACAACATCCTCGTGGTGGCCTTCGACTGGCCGCTGGCTGCGGTCGCCCCCGGCGGCAGGAATATCTGCCGTTCGCCCGGCTCCTCCTCAGCATCGGAGTTGACGATCCGACCGCTGCTCGACACGGCCTCGCGCTCGCTCTTGGGGATCATGGCGGCCCGGATGCGTTTCTCGTCGGGCCGCACGGGCCCGTCGTCGTCGGCGGTGGCGCGCTCACATTCGGCACCCACCTTGTCCACTCCGCCTGTTAGGTAGAGGGGGGGGGGACAAGGGAGCCCAATCAGTCGCAGGTAGTCTAGGGAGACGGCCGCTCAAATCCCAAACATCATTCATATCTATTGAATTGCAGGCTGGACGTTTTCTTTCATTGCTTATCTTTTAAGGTGTCTTTTCTGCATGTGACGATCGCTACAAAAATGGATGTGATCGCACATGCAGCTCTGATCGAAGATCAATGATCACACCTCCGCCAACTCTCGGGTCGGGGCTGCTCTGCTCAAAGCTGATCACACCTACAGCCCAAGGGTCGGGAGGGGGGGGGGTTAAGGATCGGTGCCGTTTTGTCACAGCTCAGTGGTCGGAGCCGGGCAGCCGGTCACACAACCCAGGGATCGGCGCCGGTCGCCCAGCCCAGGAGGCAGCGGTCGCCGCCGGTTGTACTCACATCCCTCCATCCTAGCCATATTGGTCTTCCGACTGTCCAGCACCGTCTGCAGCTCCGACAGGAAGCCCTTCACCCCGTTACCCTTCTTCCGTCCTTTGCCGGCGTCGGTCAAATGCGTCGCCAGCAGAAGGCCTGAAGAGAGTGTGTAATAATGGACACGACGAATGTTACGTTTGAAATTTATAGGTGGTGACATTCCCACAAATATGCGAATATAGTCGTGACACAATAAGCTTGACCATTTTAAAAACAATCAACTTTGCACAACCGTGTAACGCCCAGCTCTACGCAGGCATTCATGCGTTCCTATAAGAGCCCTAAGTCTCGCTCATACCTAACTTACTCGTAGTTCGTCACTAAAAGAATCGAACAATTTCAGTTCCAGGCCTAATATTTATCTTGCCATCACTTTATCCCGCGCTCCGATTGTCACGGCACGGCTCCACCACGTCTGCCCACAATGGCGTAACTCACAGCAGCAGAGCATCCACAGCCGACCGCCGGCAGCCATGGCTCCGCCTGTCCGGCTCCGGACACAGCCGATCTCCTGTCAAATTAGGGCGGCGGGTGTCAGTCAGACACTCACTTGAACTCTCAGTGAACACTCAGACAGTGAACACTCACTGAACACTCAGACGCCCTCTTCAGACGTCAGGCACTTCAGACGTCAGGCACTCACTGAACCGATACACAGTTCAGTCGTCAGACACTCACTTCAAACGTCACTCATTTCAGGCGTCAGACAATCTAAGACATCAGACATTCACTTCAGACGTCAGACACTCGTTTGGGACGTCAGAACTCACTTCAGACGTCAGGCACTCGCTTCAGACGCTAGACGGAAGACACTTCAGATGTCAGCAAAACTCATTGGCTTTCGCTCCAGTCTCCCTTTTGTCACGCCGATGAGAGCACTGAGCGCTCGTCCGTCGTTCACCCCGCTGTCTGTCACTGCGCGTGTGAGTGGTGCCCTCGGATGGTGCACGCCACGTGACATTCAGTGCGTCACCGACTAGTCTGCACCCCTCCCTCCTGTCACCAGTCGCCTGTCACTCTTCCCCCCCCCCCCGCTACACACACGTACCATTGCTTCCAAATTAAGCTCGATAGGCACCTCGCTCTATATCTGTGCTGAATACCCTCCCAAATTCCTCACGTAGCCGTCCCGGTGCGGTGCGTGCTAGACTGAAACGGTGCGTGGACCCTGTGACTCGGGGAGTCAGACCGCGCCTGCGGCAGCGACACACGGGTGTGACCTGTGATTATGGCGGACACACGTATGAGCGTGACATGTAACTGGGTCACATTCTATTCAATCGGGGCTGATGAGAGCGGCCACAGTGGTCAGACCGATATGGGCTCGGTGGGGGAGCTTGGTTGGCCGTGTTGCGGGCGACAAATATTGAGTACGCTTGATAATGTAGCGCTACACAGACTTACACTGACATGACATACCCGTCCGTCGTTTCCATCCTCAGGACATTTAAATCCTTCTCCTCCACGCCGCAACCTCCGGTCCGGGCTGGACAGGCACCTTTATCTCATGCGGGCTGCTCCCTTGGAGCGGCAACGCTGCTCCCGAGGGAGCACACCCGTAGCCGGGTGCAGCGAGTACATATTGGGGGCTGTTCGGTCCGTCCTTTGGGACGGGCTCTGCCCGTTGAGTCGCTATGGGTGCCTGCCCAGACCAATGTCTCCCCATTATTCCTATCATCCTTCCAGCTCTGAAATGGTCTTATTGGACTGAAAGGGCCTAATCCAACAAAACAAACAAACTGACACTGACACTTGTCAGCTGTCATATTTTCTGAAGCGGGAAATCCATTAATGTCTTAGCCCTCGCCGGCCTATATGGTGCAGGGAGGGAGGGGGTACTTTTTCCGACGACTTTATCCGATCGCACGGAGTGTGCACTGTGCAGACAATAGAAAACTGAAGGTTGACAGAGCTGAAAGCAGGGGCTCCGCCACGGTTTTGGGATTGGGGGGGTCCGACCCAAAACACAAAACCTTGCTGGCGGATCCAGGGTGGGTATTTTGGGCGAATTCACCCTCCCCTCCCCCTTGCAGCTCCCGAAGATGATGAAAAATTGCCGCTTTTTCTAGAGCTCAAAGAAAATTTAATAATTTTATCGGGATAATTCTGCTTTAAACCGAAAAACCAAGGTTCAATTTGCACAAGGAATCGAAAACCGAGAAGCGGAGCCCATCGACACCGACGTGGCGGCCTCTCAAATCAACGTTCTTAAGTAATGGAGGCCGCTGTTGCACGCTCCAAGGGCGGTGTTAGCCATCAGACAGCGCATTAGGCTCTCAGTGACTGGCATGGGCTTGGGAATTCAGGGACCTTCATTGGCGCTCAGATATCTATGTAGGCTCTTAGGCCAGTGCCGGTCCTCCAAGGCCTTAGTTAAAGGAAAGCACAGGGCTTTAGGAGTCGTTGAAGGGATTTGAAAGCCGCCCTGCCCTCATACATATAGCAGTATGGAGTCCTTAGAGAGACTGACATTCAGTCTCTGTGATCAGAGTGTGGCCTAGCTTGACCTGAAAATGGATATCAAAATGCTGCAATTGAATCAAAGGTCAGGTTATGCAGGGGATCCTGTAAGAGTTGTGACTTGTAGATGTATCTCTACCGACCTGCATTCAGAGTCCTGTGCATATTATATTGCAGATTACCTCAGAACGGTGTGAGGCTGCTTAGACTAGTACGGTGCTCGAAAGACCGGCTTAACCCCCTTCTCCCAACACTATCGGTTGACCTCACATGCAAAAAGGATTCTCAGATCGATTTGAAGCTCATTTAGGGCGGGTATTGTGTCTAGGAGGTGTCCTGCAAGCTGGACCTCTCTCACGAAATTATAGCCGAATTCTGGCATGCTTAGCTAATCCTATAGCAATCTTAAACGCATTCATTTTAATAACAAAATGGTAGAATAATGGCACTGCCGCACATATAGGTCGGCGAGAGTTGAGCACTTCGTGTGTCACAACATTTTAAGGGATCCCTACATTTCCAGATCTTAAATTCCTTAGCTTTGCGACTGTCAACACATTCTAAATTATTCAACACATTCTGTGAATGATTTAGTCATTCTTATGCGAAAACAAGCTTATAGTTATTGGGAATATTGGGGGGTACTGTACCCCCCAGGTAAATTATTGAGGGGGTCCGGACCCCCGCGTACCCCCCTGTGGCGGAGCCCCTGGCTGAAAGTTGCTTTGTGATCCCAGCCATATTTCTAGGTCAGGTCATTTACCTCTGACGTCAAAAGTGAACTTCTGCATGGTCCCAAAATGTCGCAACTTGGTTGCTTCTTCAGTACCAGGATATCCTTCACACGGAAATCAAGATGAAACCTTCTAGGTTGTACGACTGTAGTGTTTGATGGAGACAAGGTTTTAAGCGAGGATGAATGTTTATTTTGCCATCTTCCCACCCATATAGGTAAACATTAAAAGGACATTCATGGAAAATACTTAAATGCATTTTTTGGAGCCGATGTAACCGAGAAGTCGCCAAGATAACCGAGATAAGTGCATTACGATATAATTTCATATTGATAACGTTTGTTGTCCAAGTGGAAACAGCTTATAAAATTTTGAGCTGGCCACTCTGCCCCGTCCAATTGGCCCCGCGCGTACCGTCCAAGAGAAAAATATTTCAGCTGTTATTCATGTGGCAAATCGCATTAAAATTGGCATAGAATATGTATGTACGATAGTCACTTAATGCCATATAGGCGGCGGAACGGGGAGGGCACCGGGGCACCGTGTCGGCGTGTCCCCCTTTGATTTACGCATTTTAACATTAGTCTTATGGACGTTGCATGAAAAGAATGGGACCAAAAGTCGCCAGTGCCCCCCTTAAACCCTCGCCGGCCCAGGGGGAGGGGGGTTGATGCAACCCCCCTAAGGTTTTTCGCGAATAACTCGCGTAAAAAGCGGCCGATCGCGACGAAACTTTCAGTACCCTCGCATTGATCCATTTTACACCTACCTTGAAAATTTCATGACCCTGACCCAAATGACCTTTGACCTGTGACCTCTTTTCCGAGACCATGTTTGGCCGGAATCGCGAATCGGCGTATGTCGGCTCGCATTAGCCGCGCGTTTGCAAGCTTTTCGTGGTTTCAAACGTTCAAACATGTGATTTGATGTTGCTCCCATACATTAGGGTGGGTTTCAAGGTCACCTGAAGGTCAGGTCAGGTCATTGATCTTTGGTGACCTCGGGTGACCTCGGTTCACTTTTTCGAGTTTTACATGTTTCTAGGCTAGTTTTTGGAGCTGAATTCGAATTTAGCAACCATTTGAACATTTACGAAGTAGTTTTGGTGCCTTCGTAACATGTTACGCAGCTGTCAGAGGCGGCTGACACGTATTACGAATACCCGTCACAACCCCTACCGGTTGACCTGACCTGACCTGACCCGACCTGGTCTAAATGCTTAAAGACATCATCTCTGATCAAAACTAACACGATATTCGTGATCAGCACCCCGGAAAACCACATAGCAGCCACACTTTACGACTTTCTAACAGGTCCCGATTTTCCCGGTTTTCGGGTCATTGACCTGACCTGGAAGGTCACCCGATGACCTAGGACCTTAAAATTGGGTATCATCGGCTTCCTCTCGTGACGGGCAACACGCTCGTTTTTCCGCGAAGCTCTAGCTCGATCAGGGGCCAAACGCGAGGGGGGGTCGTACCAACCCCCCCCCCCTTGTGCCGTCGAGGGACGCAAAATGGCCTGTGCCGGCGAGGGTTAATTGAAGGTGTTCCGCCGCCAGTGCTCAATGCAATAATGAGAACGCTTAGTTTAACTTCCAAGCTTGTATGTACAAAATGACACTCAAAAAGCGTGAGAATATTGGGATAATAAGAATAACCCAAGAAGAAATGCATTTCCGTCTGGCACGGATCAATGGCGACGGGCCGGAAACCCTGGTGTGACTCATTTGAACGAACGCGAAGAGAACTAAACTTGACAACCATAAGGTGAAGCTGACGTCAGTTGTGAAGGGATAAAACGCGGGTTGGCCACTTTGCCCGGGTGGCCGCTTTGCCCCGGTCTCTTCTACATGTGTTTGAGACTTTGAGTTTGAGAATACATATTTTGGCACAGTCTGGATTTTGAAGTGCCTTTATTATAACGAGGTGGCAGCCAAATTTCATATGTGAAATTCCGACTTATGCTGGAAAATATCTATAGTCGCCGTGCTGGAAACCTCTTCGCTGACGGGCACCGCCCGACACCCGCCGGCCGCCGGCCACCAAGCATCGTCTATCGGCGGCGCGCACATACTGTGCCGCTGTACACGTCTGCCATGCGGGTAGCCTACCAGCGCAGGCGTTTGGATTGCGGACCTGCACTGTAGCGGCATCAAAATGAGATGATTTGAAAAGTATAGTTATTCGTTCAAATCTCGGTGATGAAGACATGGTGAGCAATGAGCATAGCGACTCATGTAAGTGGGCATCGTTCAGCAAAATTGTTACCTCGTAACCCGTTCCTCCGTGCCGAGAAATTATGACTTTCATTACTTGTTTATCCGCTCTGGCTGTATAAAATGTAGGTAACGGGAAATATTATTTAGTCCGTTACTACGTAACAACAGAGACATGCGCATTAGGACAGTGAGTATTTTGCACAATGAAAAATTTTCAGATCGAGAATCGAGCTATAAAAAATATAGTGATGTATGTATAACATAGTAATATAGTGATTTTATAGTCACTAAGCCCGTCGAGAAAGCGAGCCACCAACTAACTAAACCGACACCGCCTGTCGGGCTGGGACGATGAACCGTCTGGCTCGCACAACGAGCACTACTTAGCTGGAACGAGTGACCCGGACCATTGACTGACAGGCCTTGGACCCGACGGGCTCGGGATGTTTAATAGACTGAGGCATCTGTTTTATCGCATTTCTTCTAAATATTACTTTATGGGAAGACGGTAAATCCGTTCGAATTTTTGATTACTCAAGTGACTTTGTCAGGTCCATTCACGATTGAAAAGTGTTTCATCATTTCTTTTTAATTTTAGATAACTCTTCGTTCAAAATTTATGTGTTTGTGTGCTATCGATTTTAGCCAGCATTCACAATGCAATTTTATTAATTGGATCTGACCACATTCTCCAAGTTCCAAGATCCAAACAATTAATGGGACATAGGTGACCGCCAAATTTTAGGTCCATGGGCCATGGCGCTCTGCCCGTCAACTCAGTGATCACTCGGTACTCACCTGTGACCAGTGCAGTGGGCAGGTCGGCGGATGGACGTGCTGTAGGTATCAGCGGCAGCCTCAGACGGGCACAGACGGACACTGACGCGGCACGCGCTGCAGCCGAACGGCCGGCGCCACTGGTCACCGAGCTCCGGCCGCCGGGCCGTGCCGCGTGGGAGAGCCGTCACGCGCGTCACCGCCCCCGGACCTACCGCTGACGGGTGACGGCCGCGACACCACGTCACGCGGCGGCCGTCACTCACACGGAGCATCACAGGCCGTCACGGGCGCGCCTGGGACGGAGCGTCACAGGCCGTCACGGGCGCGCCTGGGACGGAGCGTCACAAGCCGGGGCGCAGCGGGGGTCACGAGGAGTCCACCCCACCTGCCTCTGTATATTATATATAATATCGAGCATTGACCTGTAAACGGCCACTCCCCTTTATGTACGAGCCACGATGATAGACTATATGGGCGCAGTGACGGTTATTCCAGTTATTCCAGCGGATGCCCGCGCCCTGCTGGGGGGGGGGGGGGTGAACACCCCTTTGTGTTTTTTTTCGCGAATATCTTAAAAGGCGGTGCAGATCGCCGCCGTTTTTGGCACACCTTATCATACATCTTTTCTGCCGGTGTTGTAAAAATTTCAGACCCAGGTCACTTAAGGTTAGGTCGCCAGGTCACGTTAAGTGACCTAACTACATAAAATGTTTTAAATGTCTGTCGTAGGTACACCAAGTGACTGAGCGCTTTGAAACTTTCAGCGATTGATAAGAGCAACAGTATATACCTACAAAAGGTATATCTCAGATTTTTGTTATCGGTGACCTAGGGTCACGTCAATTTTATTCTAGATAAAATTGACGAGAGATCTCGATTACCTATGATCGAGATCTCTATTACCTATAATATTTCTCTATTATTATTATTATTATTATAACTTATAAGTCAACGGAAGAAAATTAAAAGGCGCCTGTTTTGGATGAAAGTCATTATAACACTCTCAAGTCTCAAACACTGAATTACAAGTGAATTTGACACACTGAACATGCAAATGGCAGCCGTGACCCCTTTTCATGCCTCTGAAGTCTCTCAGGTCACGAATGGTAGCTGACAGTTGTTTGCGAATAACTTTTGATAGAGGCATGCTAGAGCGATGAAAACACCTTGGTTGTGTTCGGCTCGCCCATACCGATCGACTGATATGCAACATGACCCTTAGTGGTCAGATCATGACCTTGACCTGAGGTCGAATTTTCAAGTTGACCTTTCAAGGTCGAATGATGGTTCATTCGATGCGTCTTAATAAGAGGAACACGATGCCAGTGAAAGAAAGTTCGTGCAAGGTTTGAGTCAAAAGTTATTGCCGAGAAAACTCCAAAAATCGTCTATGTTGGCAGTTTTTGCTCCCTGCAGGCAAAACCGTCGACGATGGGTCAAATTTTAGAGTTATTCAGAAAGAACGGTAATAGGGCTATCAAATGCGCTTTTCCGCGGCGATGTAGCTTATAGTTTCCGAGCTGTGCGTCGATTTGTTGAAAATTGTCGAAATTTGACCTGGAAATCGGCGAATGTTTGCCTTCAATGACCTCTGGTGACCTGACCAATGTCCTGACCAAAGAAGTGACCTTTGAAATTTCTTCCTTATTTTTGACGCTTCTTCAAACGCCGCATTTCCCGTGTCGACACGTGGCCGAGGAGTCGAGTTAGAAGGGGGATGTTCAAACACCTCCCAGCAGGCCGTGGAAATCCATGTATCGAGTCGTCTTTCATTCCTCCTTTGAAATCCTCACATGGCAGATTATGAGAGGCCGTCACTGTCGGTCGTGAGACGGCCCTGCAGGCAGACGGCATTTGGGGGCCGCCAAGAGTTAATATCGGCGCCGTGCAGCCAAGCGGCCCTGCCGCTGCACCAGCTACCGGTGCAGGTATAGCACGAGGCTGCAGTTGATGCGATTCGGGGACGCTTCGGGTATTATATTATTAATGTTAGATTGGTAATGTATTGATGCGTCAGCGACCCCAAAGCGTTATAACGCCGAGAATTTATAATAACCGTTTTTGAGCTCAGGCCGAATGATCGCAATTTTCGCTACCTTGCGTCAACCTAGTCTAGACCGCGTCAACTGATAGACTACGGGCAATGGCTATTTTTACTTGCACTTTGCCCAGTAATAAACTTCGTTTGTCACTCGATCGAGCTGACCTCGAGTGACTCTGAGAAAAACCGGCATGTCTGCATCCGTTGATGTGCGCAGTAGCTCAAACCTCAAAACCTTTGACAGAAAGATGTACCGTTATGCCAACGTATATTAAATTCTGAACTGCGTAACTGGCGGAGTGCTCTCTTCCAACATACCTAGCCTCGATCACCGTTTGCACGTCACGGCCAACCGGTTTGCTACCGAGATGTCCCACAGACACGGAATAAGACACTTGACTGTGTGCACATTGCATAGCGCCGTTTCACACCACCGTTCTATATGCTGCGGAGACTATAAAACAGCCCAGCCGTGGTCGTCGCACTGGCTCAGCTGCCGCTGCCCGCGGGCGGCTGGGCCGCGCCGCACGGGCCCCCATCTGCCGAGTATTGTAGCGTGCTGCGCCGGCGCAGTCGGCTAGCAGTATCACAGGGCCGCGCCGGCGCACTCACCCACAACACGTGACATTTCGCTACCACACACCCGGATACATTGCTGACGGCTGGAGATATCACGTGACACGGGGAAACCCCGGCACGGCCGCGGCGGGTTCATCGGTCCATCACACCGTGTAGTATTCACCCGTGTGCACGGCGTTCCCGGCCCTCACCAGCAGACGGTCCACGTACACGTCCGTGTCGCCCGACGTGTCCACCAGGCGCACGATGATGAGCTGCTCGCGCGTGATGGCGTCCCGGCTGAAGTCGAGCAGCTCAGCCACGAACGCGCCGCCTCCTCCCTCGGCCGAGAGCAGCCGCTGCAGCGCGATGCAGTCGTCGATAGTCCAGTCAGAGCCAGCCGGCCGCACACCGCCCAGACGCGCCTTCACCGCCTGGCCAGGCAGCTGCCGGAACGGGTAGGGCAGCGGCTGCACGCAGCTCGGCGACAGAGGCACGTAGCTGAAGTCGCCGTAGTCGATGAACTTGATGGTGACCTCTCCGCTGTCCAGCCGGGTCTCCACTCGCGCCCTGCAGAAGAAGGATGGATAAGATACATCGAATCTCACAGTAGTCCAGCAAACAGCTCAGCTGCCGACACTCTTGTGGCAGACACACAGATCGGTGAGCTGGTAGCTCAGCAGCGGATAGCTCAGCATATCACCGATAAGCAGTTTAGCAGAAAACGCTCAGCAGCACTTCAGTAGCAGGCTACACTAGCTTAGCAATGAACACAGAAGTAATTATTACATCGCAGACGACTATATGTATGTAATTGCATCCACCGTGTGTTCCTAAATAACCAACACTGATTAGCATTCAAAGACATCCGTGATTTGATTCACTTTAACGTATCATTTACTAGTTCCTTTCATATCAGATAACCACCACATTCTAATGCTTTGCAAAAACCATACACAAAGACCAGGGAACAAGCCAAGCTCATGAAACAAACTGAAAATTCGCCGTTTGAGTGACAACTCCGTTAAATGTCAGGGACACGGCCGCCAGCGGGAAACCCGCCCAAACAGCGACAGGTGTGCGGAGGGAGACGATCCGGTTTGTGTGTGTATGTGTGTGGGGGTGGGGAACACCCTCGACCTAGCTGGCGTGCGGGACCGGGAAATTATGTGGTAGTGTGAATTCCTGGTTGTCAATCGTCCGATATCCAGCGTCCCACGAACTGTCTTTTTCCGAGGCGAGTGACAACTGTTGGTCGATCAGAGCCGCAGCAGTGAGAGGTGGGGAGTGGCTCCACATACAGGGAGACGGGTCTTGGGGACCGTTTATCCGTGGGCGAGAGCCATTGAGGAGAGATAAAGGGTCTTTCGCCTGTAGACTGGAACCTTGGGGAGAGCTGGAAGGCTTGTCTGTCTGCAGATTTTGACAGTTTGGGGATTCCTTTTGATTGTGATGATAATGATATTTCTGATTTTAAGGCGCCCGGACTTCAGAGGCCATCGGCATTTATCGCACAGTGGGAGTTTAAAGTGTGATATCAGTGTGATGTCTGTCTCTGCAGAGAGGAGGCGGTGATGACATGGATGACATTCGATCGGTCCAATAGCGGGAATGGCGGGCAGGGGGAGGGAGGGACGGGGATGGGGTAGGTCATGACATCAGGTGTCAGCACTGACGCAGGGCAACCAACGCCGAGAGCAAACGACTAGAAGCTAGTGGTAGGTTTGCTTTTTAATATCGATTTCGGATATCGCTGACGATGCAGTCGATGTCGATATGGCTATCTGGCGAAGAGCTCACCAGGTATAAGGAAAATTAGTGAACAATAAAAAAATGATTGCACTATGTAGGAAAAATAATACTGGTTTCAAGGTCCAAGATGCCGCAGCGCCGAGTGTTTGTCGACGCAGTGTTCAGTTAAAAAAGTTTTATTCGTAAGTCTTTCACTCAACCACTCTTCCCCACTCGCTCGGGACGGCGCAAATGAACGCACCCGTGCTCTCTCTCTCTCTCTCTCTCCCTCTCTCTCTCTCTCCCTCTCTCTCTCCCTCCTCGGTTTCGTACCGGTACCAGACGCCGTCCTCCGGGCTCTTCACCGCGCAGAACTGTCCGCTGACGATATCACCAGTGTCCAGCGGTCGAACGTTGGCCGGGTCGCCGTAGTGTTTCTGCATCGTCGACATCAGGTTGTTGAGTTTCACACCCTCCATGTATGGTTGGACCTGGTCGGAGAACGTTGGGTCAGCCAGCGGGCCGTGATATCACAGCATGTGAGACGTGCGGTCACAGTCCTGGCCCGTGAGGCCACAGTCGTGCTTCGGCAGACCCACGGCGGGTAGCCCAGCCCAGTGACTTTAGGGCCGGGTTCACATCTGACATTTGGCCGACAAGGTCAGGTGGTCAGCAGCGGGCAGACGGGGCATACACCGGTCACAGGGGCTCTGACCACCGGCCGGCTCACTGACAAAGGCATGTTCAAACTTTACTCATGCATGTCAAGCGTTGAAATGCCTAGCGCCTTAAACAG